ATGCACCTGGACACTTTACCCAGAGTGCTCCTTATTTTCCAGGGTGCTGTCTGCAGCCCACTGCCATTAAGGTATAAAAAAAATCCTGCATCCCAAAGGAGTGCGGCTAGGATGCCAACACTCTAGGACTGGGGACCTGAGGGAATGGGGACAGGAGGGCTTGCACTCTTGGATCTTGTGCGAGGTAAAAGAAAGGGTTCTGGATTTCTGGGTTAGAGACGGGAAGAAGACAGTGGGTCTGACCCTGCAGCTAGAGCCACTGTGTGTGGGTTAGAACTCTACGGTAGCTGAGAGGCAGAGGCTGGGACACTTTCTCCAGGGTCTAGTGATCTCCACACTGCCAAAGGGCCAGAGGCTCCAGGCTACCCTCTGGGTTGATCTTTTCTGTCTTCTCACTCCGCTTGCAGGTAAACACCTGCCTGCAAGCCTCCCGGCAGGTGCCCCTGAACAAGCAGAATCTGCACAAGTGCAAAGGCCCAAAGCTGAGTGGGCTGAGTCAGGCATCAGCCTCCACCATGACCTCCACGTGGTCGGGCAGCGAGGAGCCAGTACCCAGCGCTGCAGCAGTCAGGCGCCTCCTCCCATAATGTGGCCCACGCCTGCCCCCTGTGGCTGCTTCCTGCATGGCATCTGGCTGAGCCCTGGTGTCCCACAAGGAGCCTGGGACCTCAGGGAACCAAGAGGTGGAAGACGCTACAGAGGAGCCAGAGGCCCACAGTCCAGGAAACCTAGACTCCTCAGCTTCTGGGCAGACAGACATGAACTTATGGGTCCACCCCAAGTCCACCGGCCTCCCCAGCAACTCTCCTCCACCATATGGCATTGTGCCAAAGCCACCTCACGAGCTGGAGCATCAAATAATATATGCCGGAGCCACTTTGCCCAGTGCATTCAGGACACCTGGGTCTGTTGGGGGGGGGGGGCGGCTGAGGAGCCACACCTGCTCAGGTGTGGATGAGCCAATTAGAAGGTTGGGGAAATGCAGAAGAGCAGGCGTGGTGGCCCCAAGGGAGGTGGACTGGGTTCATGTGAGGATGTCAGAGAGGCCAGTGTGAATGGAGCCCAGCAAGCAAGGGGAGAGAGAGGGAGGTGACACCAGAGGGAAGAAAGGCACCCATCTTGTGGGGCCTTACCTGGGGCCACAGGGAGGTAACTGTGGTTCCCTGAGAGACCCGGGGGCTGTGGGCAAAGCTCGGCAGAAGCAGGACAAGGCCTGATGTGGGTGTTCACAGGTCCCTTGAGCGTCTGTGTGGTCAGACCACAGGGGTGAAGAGAGGTGGGGGGGCCTGGTGCAGTGAGGATGGGGGTGGCCAGGGTGGAGGCAGGGAAGGGGAAGGAGTCCACTTCTGATACCCCTAAAGGGAGCCCCCAGGGTATGCTGAGCAACTGCATGTGAACAGAGGAGCAGACAAGACCTAGAATGGTCTGAACTTTGGCCCTAGTCTCTGGGCTAAGCAGCTTCAAGGAAATGTCTACACTCACCACGTCCCCACACACACAATGTGGGTGCCCCAGCCTTTCACCTCCCCAAGCCCCACTCAAGCCCACAATTAGGGGCTTTTTCACCAAGCCCCTAATGTCCCCTCCCCCAACACATCCATCCCCAAGCCTGGACCCGCCTGCCTCCTGGCTCTCACTAACTGTCCCCTCCTCTGTCCCCTTGCCCCAGGTGTCAGGCCTATGAACATCTGGACTCTCTTCATAGGCCTCCAGCCACCTTCATAGGCCTCCAGCCCCCATTCTACCCGTCTACACCATTCCCCTCCTGCCCAGTAGGTCATTCCAAACTCAGAACTGCCTTTGCTCCTGGGTGCTCACTTCAGGGCAGTGTGCTACAAGCAGCTCTATGAACTTGAGCTCACTCTAAGAGCAGCACTCCAAAGACTGGTCTGTGATCTCTCTGCTGCTCCTCCAAAGGGACTGGACAGATGTGTGGTCTCAGCTCTAGGGACAGGGTGAGCAGGGCCTAGACTGGATGTTATCTGGGCAGGTCTAGGCTGGGGCTGCAGAATTTTTTTTTAAAGATTTTATTTATTTATTCATGAGAGATACAGAGAGAGGCAGAGACACAGACAGAGGGAGAAGCAGGCTCCCTGCTGGGAGCCTGATGTGGGACTCAATCCCAGGACCCTGGGGCCATGACCTGAGCTGAAAGCAGATGCCCCATGTTTATACTAGGTCCCAGCCTTCACTGGGTGACCTGACGTCACTCCCTCCTGCATTCTGTGCCTCTTCATTAGTTAAACAAGCCAGGATAGACTCTAGAAAATTGCTCAGAGCCCTCCTATGGTCCTGAGACATGGGAAGACAACTTCAAATTCCCAAAGCTTTGAGTCATTTTAATAATGATCTCCAGCTCTGAGAAAGCAGAATCCAGATCACAAGCCTCAAAATGCATAATCAAGACTGCAAGATCCAGATTAAGGACTTCTATCCAGTCACCCAGTGTCTTAATTCATATAACAGGGAAGATTCTAGGAATTCATTCATGGAACTCAGGCTCATATCTCCCAGTCCAGCCCTTTAAATGCACAATGCAGATTTGAAACTCCAGACTTCACACTCCAAAGTTAATCCATGAAATTTTAAGAGTCTAGACCCAGACTCTAGAATCCAGGCCCCAAAACTCAAAATTCAAAATCTACCATTCATCCTCCAGGTCCCAGGTTTCACACAGCAGATGTGAAGGTTTCTTTCCTCAAGTCCTAGATTCCAAACACCAAATTCCAGGCTTCTAGTCTGGACTCTAAATTCAAAGGCCCTGGATCTAGAATCCAAGACTAAGACCTGTCACTCAAAGATCAGAGTCTAGGATCCAGATTCCAGACCCAAACTCTAGAATTCAGACTCCAAAATCCATGCTCTATACTCCAGGTCATAAGTGCCTGACTCCAGATCTCCAAACTCAGAGTCCAGAGTTGGAGATCCACAACAGAAAGTGCAAAACCTAAGATCCAGAATCCAATACCCAGGCTCCAGAGTTAGGAGGCCCCGGAACCCAGATCCAGAATCAGAGATCTGAATCCAGAACCCAAAATCAGGAAGTGGAGATCCAGATCCAGAACCTGCTGTCCAAAATCAGAGATCCAAGGTTCAGAATCCAGAATTTGGAGGTCCAGATGCACATCCAGAATCCAAGATTCAGAACCCTACTCCAAGTATGAGAAGCATGACTCTAGAATCCAATTTCCACACTCCAGACCCCAAATAGCAGGTTCCAGACTCCTGGTCCTATCTGTTGATCTCTGATTTGGGGCTCTTGCCCTCCTACCTCCTCTACCTCAAGGAACTGTCCCTGGCAAGGAATTCTTTTTTACAGACTCAGACAAAAGCTTCAACCTAATAAATGCTCATTAGGCCTTGTCCCCCACCCCAGTAGCCACCTAGGCGTCCCCGCCTGTAAACCTGACTCTCAGCCACCTCCCACCCCACCCTATCCCCTAGAACTGGGTGGGGCTGGAAGCTTATAAATTCAGGTATTCAGGTGCCCGCTCCCCTTCTTCTGGCATTCAAGCTGTACCACATGAAGCTGGAGGATCTAGAGGGGGTGAGATCTTTGAGACAAGAGTTGGGGTGGTGGAGGCTGGGATGGGAGAGTAGGGGAAGACACTCAGGGAGACAGGTCTGGCCTGGTCTAGGGGAGACACTGGATGCCCTGGTCCCAGGGAGCAGACGTGAACTGCTCTGAGGGAGTAGAGTTTCAAGGGCACCTGTGTAGGTCCATGTGTCCTTTACTGAGGCCCCAAGTTGAACCTGAACCAAGAAAATGTCCTGGAAATGCCAGAAGGAGCTGCGGGGGTAGGGGGAAGGAATGAAGGGAATCGGGAGGAGGATGTCCCCAAAATTGCTTGTACCAGAGCCAAAAACAAGGTCAGGAGTTATCAGAGGTTCAGGTCAACTCAGCTCAACACCCCCTCCCCCTTCACCACCTCCGGTGTCCCATGTGCCAGGCCCATGCTGGGCAGTGCTGGGGACCCAGAGAGAACCCTACCTGAGCATCCCTGGAGATCTGCAATGTGATGGAGGTGGACCAGGGGCAGTGAGGTCCAGAGAAGATAGCTCTTAGGTCTCGGGACCTCCCAGAAGAGGTGGGAGCTGAGCCCTGGAGGGCCAATATGAATTTGGAAAATGAGGGGAAGTCTTTCATTCATTCTCAAAGCTTGGGACTGGACCCTTCACGGGGAATGCGGTATCCAGTTGGTCCAGGCCTGCCCACAGGAAGTTCTTAGCCTGGTGGGGGAGGCAGACACCCTGGGAATGGAGAAGGTCAGAAGATGCCTCAAGGAGGAAGGGGACCTTAAAGGGAATGGCATACCTTGGAGGAGGAACAGCCTGAGCAAAGGCATGCAAGCATGAAATCACAGGAAGGAAAGTGGGAGAAGCAGCTGCATCTCGAAGGGCAAGGTCATGACAGACCCTGTCAGAGGGGCTGGTGGAGGGGGAGAAAACACTCATGTCCTCGAAAGTGAGGCAGGGGAGCTAGGACTTTATCCTGGGGGTGCTGGGGACCCATGAGAGCTGTAAGCAGAGTGGGACACAATCGACTCTGGGTGTGGGAAGACCCTTCAGGGAACAGGCTGGGAGAGTGGGAATTTGATTGGATGGACAAATGGCAGAAGGCGGCACGCGGTGGTGGGTAGGTGGGCACCCTGGAGGCCTGAGAGGAGGCTGGGATAGGGTATTCTGAGTCAGAGCCTCTATCGAGCATGGAGAGAGATCCAGGAGCAAGTGGGATGGTGCTGGGGTCTGACAGGCTGTGGGGGCACCTGAGGGTTTGTTCTAGTAAATGGAGGAACAAGAGGACCCTTGGAGATGGAGAACCTAGGAGGAAGAGCACTCTGGGATGGGGGTGGGGCAAAGATGGTGGAAGAAGTTTCTCAAGTAGCTGGTGGGATGAGTTTGTATCTGGAGGGATCCAGCGGGGCACAAGTGTCCAGTCTCACCCCAGTTCACTCTCTCCCCTCCCCAGACTTCAGCAGAACCTTCATCCCTGCTCCACAATGTGGCTTCTCCTCACCTTCTCCTTTTTGCTGACTGCAGCAGGTGAGGTGGGCCCAGGTCAGGTCTGGGTCTGTGGGAATGTAATGCCCCCACCCACCATGTATCAGGAGCAAATCCAGACCTGCAATCTTCCACCATCCCCAACCCCTCCTCCCTGACCCCTTCCCTGCTGGGTCCTCACTCCACCCAGGAGCTGTCAGAGAACTGGGGCTGCTCTAGAGCCCCCATGCCAACTGGGGCCTCCTGCTACTCCTGACAACAAGAACAACCCCGGGGTGACTGAGACCTGAGTTTGAGTTCTGGGGATGCCCCTTCCTTGCTATGTGACATTGAGGAAATTACTTCACCTCTCCTTACCCAGAGTGCCTTCTCTAGAAGACAGCACCCACCTATGACAATAATGGCGAGGTTTCAATAGCATGATGCAGATAATGCCCTTACTAAGTCTTTAACAAGTGTTAAGAGGCCAAGAACACAAACCATGGGTTTGATTCCAACTCACCATGTTCTGGTTACTTAACATCTTTGTCACTCTGGATCCCCAACTGGACCACGGAGGTAAAAGCAGAAGCCCCCAGGGTTGTGAGGATTAATCTGTTCCTGTATGCAAGGTATGAGAAGGTACCGGGTCTAGGGTACTGCCCTGCAAGAGCCTGTTAGTGAGCAAGTGCTGGGTATATGCAGGGCACTCGTGTGGATTACTGTCAGAGCTCACCTACATCTCAAAACATCTCTGTGGAGTGAGTTCTGCTGGCTTCATTTCCAATATTTTTTTTAAAAGATTGTATTTATTTATACATGAGAGGCACGGAGAGAGGGGCAGAGACGTAAGCAGAGGGAGAAGCAGGCTCCTTGCAAGTACCCCATGTGGGACTCCATTCCAGGACCCCAGGATCATGAACTAAGCCAAAGGCAGACACTGAGCCACCCAGGTGCACCTGGCTTCATTTGACAGGGGAGCGGGCTGAGGCTGGAGAGACACTATGTCAAGGTAACCCTAGGTGCTAGAAAACTCCGGACTTTGTTTAGCTACCACCCATGGAGAATGAAAGTATAACCTGATCCCTCTATTCTGGACAAGTTGAAGGTGGATTTTCATTATGCCCCCACATGACCCTCACCACTGGGGGCCCACTGAAGCTACCCCCTGCTGTCAGCCTCCCCTCAGTCTTCCTCTGTACTGTCTCCTCTCTGGCTCCATCCTGCCTACTGCACTCAGCCAGGGACTCCACCCTCGGCCAGTTGGTACTGGCTGGGTGCAGCCTCGATGCCCAGCTGTTCAGCTCACATCCTCCATCCGTCTTTGTAGGACAACAACCCCACCCTTGCTTTCTTAAGCCCCCTGTCCACCACATCCACATTCCCCCAAACTTGCCAGGGCCCTTGGCCCAGTTCCTGACCCTGGCAGGCATTTGGTCTGGCTGTGCAAATTCCTGCCCCAGGGTGGGTGTCTGTGTGTCTTGCTGTGACCTTCAGGGGTCATAACCCCCATTGCCCAGTAGTGGATCATGGTCTTACGACCTTGAAATATCCCTGTTTAGGTAGCCTTATGCATGGTGCTCTGGGTGTGTGTGTGTGTGTGTGTGTGTGTGTGTGTGTTTGCATGTGGTGGGCTTTCATAGCCCTGTGTGACAAGCTCCAATCCACATGTGGGAACCAGGTCCCCTGTGTGAAATTTAGGTGTGAGCTTTGAGGTCCAAATCAGTGTCTGTGTGTGTGTGTGCACACGCATACCCATCCTTGAACTCTCCAGATTCATACATACCTATGAAGGTCTGTGCTGTGATGATTTCTGAAGCTGCTAACCCATGGAGATGCAGGTGAATTTCAGCTTAAACTGCTCTCGACATCAGTTCCTAAGTTTGGAACACTGGCTGTGCCTCTAGGTTTGCCCATGACCTTGTGTGGCCACATGCGCATTTGGCTGAGATGTCCTGACTCTAGAGCCAAGACTGTGTGTCATACATACCGGGTGCCCACATCCACTTGATGGTCTATGACAGCTTGGTGACCTTGAATGGCTGGTTCCAAGTGGCCATCTCCCTGGTCCCGGTCTCCACTTCTCACCTCAGGGGACTTCTAGACTTCTGATCCTTTCCCACCTATGTGCTCTCCCAGAATCCCATAGTACACAGGAAAGGGCCAAGGGCAGGGGGACAGTCCTGGAGCAAAGCAGCAGCACTTGTAAAAGCCAACAGAAGGCAGGGCTAAAGAATTCAAGGACAGGGATGTCTTCAGAGGTTGGAGGAAAGCACAAATGAAAAATACGTCGTATGGGCAGAGTGCACACAAAGGTGTGGGACCCAGGGAAAAGCCTCTGTCCCCAGGGATCCTCCTCTGCCCCTTCTCCCAGCGGTCCAGGACGACACTGACAAGATACTGGGAGGCGAAGAGTGTGAGCCCCACTCCCAGCCATGGCAAGTGGCCCTATTTGAGCGTGGACGGTTCAACTGTGGTGCTTCCCTCATCTCTGCGCACTGGGTGCTGTCTGCAGCCCACTGCCAAACCCGGTATGAAGGCAGGGCTCAAAGTCCTCAGGGGCACCAAGGGTCTAGAGAGCAGAGAATCTCGGATTGTGAGGAGGAAAGAGCCGGAGCCTAGGGGCTGAGTTCCAGGTGGCCGCACCTCCTTGGTCCCGAGAGGCCAGAGGCGACCACTACTCCTGGCTTCAGCGCCCCGGGCAGGGGCGGAATGGCATCTCCAGATTCCCAAAGGGTGGGGGACCCCAGCATGCCCACTCTTTGATCTCTGTGCCTCCACCTCGCTCCACCTGCGATAATCACCTGCCCGCACAGCTTCATGACAGCGCGCCTGGGCGAGCACAATCTGCGCAAGCGCGATGGTCCCGAGCAGTTGAGGACCTTGGCTCGCGTCATCCCACACCCGCTCTATGAAGCACACAGCCATCGCCACGACGTCATGTTGCTACGTCTAACCCGGCCCGCGCACCTCTCCCGGCAAGTGCACCCCGTGGCGCTGCCCACGCGTTGCCCCCAACCGGCCGAGGCCTGCGTGGTGTCCGGCTGGGGGCTGGTGTCTGATCACAAGCCTGGGACCAAAGGGAGCACAGACTCACAAGGTGCGTGACAGGAGGGGCTGGGTGTCAGGCCTCCAGGGAACCTAGCCCTCCAGGGCTCTTGGGCGAGGCAGGCAAGGGCCTGAAAATACAGATTCACTCCAAGTCCCCTGTCCTCCCCAGTGAGTCTCCCAGATACCCTGCATTGTGCCAACATCAGTGTTATCCCGGCCGCCTCTTGTAACAAGGACTACCCAGGGCACCTGATGGCCTCTATGCTGTGTGCAGGAGCAGAGGGTGGAGGCACCGAGTCCTGTGAGGTCAGAGCCATGGGGTAGGGGAAATGGTTTGGGAGTTGGGATGGGGGAAGGTTGTGCTTGTTTTGGGCCACAGAAGATGTAGACATAGGTTTGGGGATGGAGAAGAAAGAGCAGTTAGAATGGGGCCGGGGGGAGACTGAAGATGAGGTTGAGTTGGGTTTGGGGTGGATGATGTGGTGTTCCGTTTGCAACATCCTGAGCTTGAGTTAGGGATACGAATGGGCTTGGTTTGATTTTTTTTTTTTTTAAGATTTATTTGTTTTCAGGAGAGAGAGAGCAGAAGGTGAGGAGGGGGCAGAGAGAGAGAGAGGGAGAGAGAGAGAATGTCAAGCAGACTCTCTGCTGAGAGCATGGAGCCTGGAGCCTGGAGCATGATGTGGGGCTCCATCCCAGGACCCCAAGCCAAAGTCAAGATCTGACGCTAATCAACTGTGCCACCCCGCGCCCTGGTTTGATTTTTTAAAAATTTCATTTCTTCATGAGAGAGAGAGAGAGAGAGGCAGAGACACAGGCAGGGGGAGAAGCAGAGTCCGTGCAGGGAGCCTGACGTGGGACTGGATCCTGGGTCTCCGGGATCATGCCCTGGGCTGAGGGCGGCACTAAACCGCTGAGCCACCTAGGCTGCCCAAACCCTCAACCCCCCTGGTTTGATTTTAAATGGAAAATATGTTGGGTGGAATTGGGGACAGGGACATTTTGTCTAGGATGTGACAGACATGATGACTGGGATTGGTTGTGTTGCCAGTGAGGATAGGCGTAGGTCTGGTTTGACTCTGAATGGGGAAGATGTAGGGGCTGGCCTGGGTTGGGGTTACACGGGGAGGACTGAACATGGGTTGGCCGAGTTGTATTGATTGTGTCCGCACCGGGTTGGGTTGGATTGGTGTGGCTTACATTGGGTTATATTGAGTTGGGGTGGGGTGGGATGGCATGCGGTGGGGTGGGGTGGGATTGGAGTTTGACCGAGATGGTCAATGGTGATTAGGATAAGGATGGGGACACTGGATCCAGAAGTTTCCCATTCAAACTCTCCCTTCTCCACACAGGGTGACTCCGGGGGACCCCTGGTCTGTAGGGGAGTCCTGCAGGGCATTGTGTCCTGGGGTGACGTCCCCTGTGACACTACCACCAAGCCTGGTGTCTATACCAAAGTCTGCAGCTACTTGGAGTGGATCAAGGAAACCATGAAGAGGAACTAACTATTTGGGCCTGACACCGGTGTCTCTGGCTGAGCACAAGCTCCCACAGCTGGCCAACAACCCCATCCTGACCTGGGACAGAAGGGACAGAATCAAGCCATCCCTCAAGACCTCATTTGTCCAAGACACACATGTTAGGACTTGTCCCGTCTTAGGCCAGAGCCGGTGCTCAAGGTCACCTGTTGAAACACTGAGATAACAAGAGTGCTGATGCAAGTTTCTCTGTAGGAGTTTCTGTGACTTTCTCCTGGCGATGAAGGGAAGTGGGAACCAGACACTGGGAGCGGACCCAGAGCCTCTGTACGTTGTTCCTTTTCACCCACTGCCCCGATGCCTCCCTGAAGAGAAGTGGCTTGAAGGAGGGCTCCCTCCATTCACATATGCATAGGACCAGCTGTGTAATCTTTAGGAAAAGACCCAATGCCACTCAGCTCTGATTTCCCCATCATAAAACAGAGCTCATCAAATTGCTTACCTCACGGGGTTGTAAGGGATCAAATGAGGAAGTTCACATGAACTGATTCAAATAGTGCCTGGCCCTGGGCAAATATATCTCTGGACCCCAGTGAAAGGACCCAGCACACTCTAGATGATCAAGAATGACTTCATTTTCTTCGATAGTTAGCTGTGGGCTTCCTGGTGGCCAGGCAAGAGGGCCAGTGCTCTCCTCCCCTTAGACACACAGCGGAGGCTGGGTTACCCTGTGGCCGACTTTAATTTTACAGAAGAGCCAGGGGAATGTGCCTTTGAATTTAACATTGAGGCTGCAGATTTCTGGTTCCCGATTCTCCACAGAGATCACCCCAAAAGGTGATTTTCAAGGTCGCTGAGTGTTGAACTACATCAACCTGGCTCCTGTGACCTAAATATTTTACTGGGGGACAGTGAATCAGACTCTGTGGAGGGGACGCTCTTGACGGTAGAAGGCAGACAGTCTGGTATTCGTGGAACTTTGGAGGATATAACCTTGAGCATCCAGATCTGGGGAACATGGAGTGGGGGCAGGGCGTAATGGGATTCCAACATTGCCTGGGGGCAAAAAGAACTCTGGATTTTGAAATGTGAGGGAACTTATTCAGGGAGACCACTGAAACTTCATCGTTCTGGATCTGGGGGCACTAGGATTGTGGTGGTAGGTACCCTAAGAAATTATCTGGAGAGAAACAACAGAAAGGGACCTAGATCCTGAGTCAGGCACTGCAAGAACCAGGGTGTTCTGAGAGCTGAGCCTTACATTTCAGAGGCAGCAGAGGCTGGGAATCTACACTCTGGCTCCAAGTGGTGCGGGGAGAAGGGATTCAGAGCCCCACTGCTGGTGTTTGAAGATATACCGGGTTTTTGGGTGTGTGACTTTACTTGGGGTTCCGGTATGCAGGGCTTTGTATTGGAGGTCAGAGATTCCTCCACTCTCTGTTTCTTGTCCCCCTCACACCCTGCACATCCTCTCACTGGCTCTGTCTCCAAGAGCAGGGGCCCAGGAGCTCCAGGCCCTGCCCTGTCTGGCCTCAGGCCCTAGGAATGCTTCCAGGATAATCAGACCCTGCAGAACAACAGGTGCGCACTCTCCCGCCCCTTGCATAGCACTGGGGTAGGAGTAGGTGTCCAGTCCCCAGGCAGCAGGGGCAGGGCCTTGGCCAGCATCTGGGTGCCAGCAGGGCAGGGGCGGAGCCCCAGGGTGGGGCGGGGCGGGGGGGGGGAGATGAGGGATTTAAAACACTCCTTGGGGAGGCTTCCAAGCTCCCAGCTCACCACCAGCCTGCCCGTGGTCACCATGTGGTTCCTGGTTCTGTGCCTTGCCCTGTCCCTGGCGGGGACTGGTGAGACAGTGGGGACGATGTGGGAGGGGGAATGGGCCTGACTCTCATGCTCCCTCACCTCCCCACGACCTCTTCTCCTCCCACAGTCCACCCCAGACCCAGGTCCCAGGCTCTCTCCCAGGCCCTTAAAGTCCTACCCCAGCCTGTCCTTATTGTCACAGTCCTCACTCTTGCCCTAAGTCCCTGCTCCCTCCCAGGAACCCCCAGAACTATCTCCTCTTCCTCACTCAGACCCTGCTCTGAGCCACTTGACCAAAGGGGCAGAGCCTGGGCCACCTCTGTCTCCCTCTTTGGGGGGCTCCAACTCTTCCAAGGAGCGCACCCAGTCCCGATCACCCGCTCTCACCTTCTAGTTCTCTATGGCTCTGGCACCTGAGTCTGCAAATCCTTCGGCACCCTGGTGACTTTTCCCACCCAGCTGTCAGCTCTCAACTAGGTCTTCCACTGCCTGGCATCTGCTTCCCTTGAAATCTTCCCAGGACCCCCAAATCCCACCAGACACCTATGCTTCTCCCCACACAGACTTGCTGGCCCGTGACTCCAGCTGGGGCCCCCGTCCTGGTATGAGGATTCTACAAATGTCTCTTCCTTTCCCAAGTCTTACCCCTGAACCCTGATCCAGCATCGCCCCCTCTTCTCCCTGAGGAACAACACCGGAACCCCCAACTACAGATTCCTTTCCTTGTAGAATTTCCTTCCTCCCCAGGCTCCAGGCTTCCCCAAGTGAATCCCTCCAGTTTGGCGCTGGTTTTCTGGACTTCCCTCCAGGAACCCAAATACCTTGAGAGCCCAGCTGGCCTGCCCCACCCCCCCCACCCGGACTCCAGCACGTGACTCTCAAACCCCACATCAAGTGTATCCTCCCTGCATTCCCACAGCTGCTTGGCCCCAATATGCCTCCATCTTCATTCCTGTCCAGACTACCCCCCCCCGCAGAGAACCCCAGATCCTTCCACTACCCTCAGACCCTGAACCTCATCTGCATGACAATCACCCAATCCAGAAGAACTACCATCTGGCTCTGTCTCCTCCTGAGCCCCCTCCCAGTCCTGGCCCCAACCCCAGTTCCAGGGACCCACCCCTCTCACAAAGCCATTCCTATTCAAGGCCCAAGCCCCCAAGGGATCTTCTCCCTGCCCCAATCAAAGGACCTCAAATCACAGCCAGACTCCTTAGCCCAGATGCTATTCTTGACCTCTCAGACCTCCTTCCCTGCATCTTCCAGAACCCCCAAAGCCCAACATGACCCTAACTAATCCCTCAGCCTGGGATTCTTGGAACCCCCAAAGCCTTTCTACCCAGCTCTTGAGCCACTCTCTCGGAGCGCACATTCTCTGTTTCTAGCTTCCTTTTTCCCCTCTCAGAACTCACAATTTTCTGCTCCCCAGTCCAAGACCCCAAATCTCCCCCACATTGCCCAATCCCCACACCACATGCTGCTCCAGATGCTGCCTTCTTGTCTCCTGTTTGATCCTTGTGGTTGGCTCCGTTCTCAGCATCCTCTCCCCACCCAGGACCCACCACCAACCCACAACCCCAGGGATGGCTCTAGAATACCAGAACCTTCCCAAAATCCCTGCCCTCTCCCCAGAACCCTGTCCTGCTCTCCTGCCCCAACATCCCTCCAACCGCATGCACGGCACAGCTGCCTCTCCTAGCCCTGGTCCTCCGGGCCCCACTGCCACCCCCCACCTGCCCTGACCCAGCACCCCCTGCAGGTGCCGCACCCCCTGTTCAGTCCCGGATCATAGGCGGCTGGGATTGCACGAAGAATTCTCAACCGTGGCAGGCAGCTCTGTACCATTACAGCAAGTTCCAGTGTGGGGGTGTCCTGGTGCACCCAGAGTGGGTGCTCACCGCTGCCCACTGCATAAACGAGTGAGTGGGGGCAGGGCATTGGGGATGATGGAGTATCTGTGCTCTCACTGTCTGGGGCACTGAGGGAAACAAAGGTGGTCCTCCTCTAGGTCCCATGGAGAGTGGCAGGGACGACCCCAGGGAAGCCCTCCCAGACAGTCTGTGTCTCTCTGTCTCTCCTTACAGCCATCTTCCTGTGTCTCCCCGCCCCGTCCGTCTCTCCGTGTCTCTCAGCCCCTGGTGCTGTCGGTGTCTGTGATTTATCTCTATCTCCCACTCTCTCCTGTTCCGGTATCTGTGTGTGTCCCTGTGTCTGTCCTCCTCTGGGTCCCTCTGCTGCATCCCTGTCACTGTATGTCGCACTCTTCATCTCTCCGCCCCATCTCTCTCCTTGGGTCTCTCCCCCATTGCTGCTGAACACCCCCCAGGACGGGAGTGAGAGGGACCCCCAGAGAACAGGAAGGGACTATCCCGACATGTGTGTGTATGACAAGGATGCTCTGCAGGGGTGCACACGGAGGGCTGTTTCTGCTGGTGCCCTGTTGGGGCTCAGAAGGAAGGAGGAGGAGCGGGGGAGGAGGAAGGTAGGCAGGGGGTGGAGGAAGGGGAGAAGGTCCAGAGAGGGACCGGACCGACCTTGGGCTGGTGGCCAGGCCACCCGCTGCTGGGAACCAGCCCCACAGCCCCTGCTGCAGCTGAGCCAGTCCCAGGCCCCCCCTCCTCCCGCGTCTCCCCCTCTGCTCTTTCTCTTCCTCACACTGCCTGTAGTCTTCACTCTCTCCCTTTGTGCTCTCTCTTTTTCACTCTCCTCGTCTTCCTCTCTGGCTTTGACCTGTCACGTCCTTCTGTCTCACTTATGGTTTTTCCTCGTAGCTCTTTTCCTTCTCAACTGTCTCTCTTTCCCCATTTCTCCATGTGTCTGTCTGTCTTCGGGACCCTCCTCCAGCTCCCTGGTCTCTTCTCCCTATCCTGCCTCTCTATCCTCATTCCTTGGGGCCCCCTCTCTCCTCAGCAATTACCAGCTCTGGCTGGGTCGCTACAACCTGTTCGAGCATGAAGACACGGCCCAGTTTGTCCAGGTCAGAGAGAGCTTCCCTCACCCTGAATTCAACCTGAGTCTCCTGAAGAACCATACCCGCCTCCCAGAAGAAGACTACAGCCATGACCTCATGCTGCTGCGCCTCGCAGAGCCCGCTCAGATTACGGATGCTGTGAGGGTCCTGGACCTGCCCACCCAGGAACCCCAAGTGGGGAGCACCTGCTATGCCTCTGGCTGGGGCAGCATCGAACCTGATAAGTGTATGCCAGGGCCAGACCCTGCAGCTTGGAGTCCAGACACTTGGCTGTCGGGCAGAGGGGGCTGGGGTCTGGACTCTGGACCTGAGGGTGGACGGGCTGAGGAGTCACCTGGGGTCTGGCCACCGCCCTTTTTCTCTCTTGTCTGTAGTCATATACCCAGATGATCTCCAGTGTGTGGACCTCGAACTCCTGTCCAATGATGTATGTGGCAATACCCACATCTGGTCACATGCGTTGAGCCCGACCCTGCGCTGGGGCAGTGACGCAAGGAAGGGTCAGACTTAGAGGTTGTGGGGTGCCCACGTTTTACTGTGGTGGAGAAGACAGGGAGGGCAAGGGGGGAGGAAATCTTATCGCACACCACGCCTTTCTGGGGGAGAGGCCGTTCTCAAGCGGGGGGGGGGGGGGGGTGCGTAGCTACATTAAATGCTGGAACGTACGCATAGTGTCCCACCGGGGGTGTAACTGGATCTCCTGGGGCAGGACTGGCCCTCAGAAAGCGAGGGGTTCCCACGCTGGAGGGCACCTTCGGGGCGTGGCCTGAGTGGGCTAGGCACCCGGAGGGGGCGGTGTCACACTGCAGGGGTGGGGGCAGCTCAGGCTTCAGTGGGCGGGAACAGAGCTGCAAAGGGTAGGCCCCAGCTCGAGGGGTGGGGTTTTCTCGGAAGGCAAGGCAGGTTCTTTGGGAGTGGAGCTTCGAAGGGAGGTCTCATCTCGGGCACGTGGCCACGATGATGGGGTGGGCCCGCTATCCTGACTGAGGTCACCGGCAGCATCCTGAGAAGCTCGGGTGCGCCTGCTTAGAGAGTCGCGGAGGTGACTGCGTGGGGCTGCTGCACCGTGTGCTTGCGGTCCGCGGGGACGGCTGTTCGGACTCGCGTCTCTGGCTCTGCTGCTGCGAGGCCCACCGACGATAGCTCACCCGCCGCTCCTTGAAGGACGTCCCTTGGCTCCACATGCCCAAGTGGTTGAAGTAGTTCAGAGCTCCTGGGGGCCGGGGGCTAGTGGGCCGTGGAACTCCGAGCTCCGCCCTAGGCCCCGCCTCTTCCCACGAGGCCGCCTCCCCTCGGGCTGGCTCCTCTCCAGGTCCCTTGCCCTGCCTCGAGTTCTCCCGGGCTCCGCCTCTTCCTCCCGAGTCCCCGCCCTCACCGACCCACAGCATCAAGGCACCAGCACCCCAGCACAGATAGGTGGTCACCAGGTAGGACACCTATGGCCTCGGCCTCGGTTACTGGCCCCTTCTGAGAATTACGTCTCTTTTTCGCCCTTCCCTACATTGCCTACTTTTTGAACAGTGCGAGCCTGCTTCAGCCAAATAAGCTAAGACTCCATCTGCTTTGTTTCTGGCAAACTGTGTATCTTTCACACATAACCAGAAACCTACCCAGAATGTAAAAGCTTAGTCATATATACGGAATAGCAAGATTCCTGTGGGGTTCAATCACAGAATCCCGGTAGAGGGCTGCTCATGACATATCCTTGCCTTCTGGGGCCACAAAAAGAGTCATATGACTCTGGCTGTGCCAGTCTCAGTGCCCCACAACCCAGGCCATGGTGACTGGCCCAAAGATGGGTACATGAGCAAAGCCAACCAGTCAGGCTCTGCCCTGGGACTTTTTCTAACTGAAGCAGCTAAGGGCTTTTTTCCCCTAGTCTATAGGATTGTGAGCCTCTGCCTGAGCCCTGGACCCAGTTTGAAGGGGGCAGGAGATCTGATAGAGTAAAACTAAGAAAGGAACACAGACAAGAGTAGAGGAGAAAGAATTGAGATGACATTCAAGTCATCCCAAAGACTAACCCATCTTGTGGTTTGGTCAGAAGTAGACATTTGTGGCATAAGCCTTAATGCCCATCCCCACTTGCACCTCATGAGTGCATTGCATTGCTCTGGCCACTATATTGGGTTTGGGGTACTCGTGGGACCTGATCACACAAGACTTCTGCCAGAACTTTTTGTGTTCTTTTTCCTGCCTGACCTGAGGCCCACATTGTTAGCAGTTCTGCCAGTTGTTTGTCTGTCTGCTCTCTGATCCATTCCCCACCCTCCCCTGTTCTGTATTGCAAGGACTACATTTCTGAGCCTCCTTTGCTCACTAGCTTAGCAGTATGCTTGGCTAATGGGCAGCACCAGCAGAAGACTGGCTCTGGAAGAAGAGGACAAGCCAGAGCATTTATTTCCCTCTCACTAATGCCACCACCACTACCACCACCACCACCTCAGCTGGTGTCTTTAGCAGTAGCCACATTTTTTTTTTCTGTGATTCTAGCCACCTCTCAGCAAATCCTACATGAGTCTATGCCTTCCAGATGGCTCCAGCTTCCGGGCTCTACTAATACCACCACCTCCCTTTGTTCTGTCTCTATCTTTACTACCTTCTGAAGCATCTAGAATGATTTCTTTTTTAAAAATTTTTTTAAGATTTTATTTATTTATTCATTAGAGACACACAGAGAGAGGGGTGGAGCAGAGACACAGGCAGAGGGAGAAGTAGGCTCCACGCAGGGAGCCCGATGCGGGACTCGATCCCGGGACCCCAGGATCATGTCCTGAGCTGAAGGCAGACACCCAACCACTGAGCCACCCTGGCATCCCTAGAATGATGTATTTTCTTAACTAGATCCTGACTTACTACTATGTGGAATGAAGCCAAATCAATTAGTCAAGAAACAGACAATAATGTCTGATGCTATTACTTGGCTCTTGAATTCAGCCTTGCCTGAAAGCATTCCTACTCTCACCCTTTTTCATTTAGGTGAGACCATAAATTTCTTCACTCAAGCCATTTCAGGTTAGATTTCCTATTATTTATGATCTAAAGACTCCTGACTAATTCAAACCCTTTCCATAAGTTGGCAAGGAGCACAGGATTCAATGCTGCCCGCATACCATACTCTAGAATCACAGTCAAACCCTAACACACAGACACACACACACACACACACACACACAACCAGAACTGAATTTGCACCAAAAATCTAGAGGGACAAGAACTCCCCAATCCTGAAAAGTAATTGGTAAAGTCTCAGAGGCAAAGGTGGACAAATTAGAACATAAAAATTCCAAATTTCTACACCTTAAGAAAACCCCTCATAACCTATGTTATGTTTCTATGCCAGCCATAAACATTGTACGTTCTTAGCCTTGAATAAATGATGATTTACTTTAAAAAGAGAATTGTAATACTGTCTTGTGTGTTTTTTAAGTGTCAAGCATATACAGTATCTATAGAGACATACCTATATGTATGGGTGTGTATGTATGTGTTTGTAGATGTTTATAAAGCCATATTGTGTATAGACATAGCTATTTTCTCAGATGTGCAGAAAATAAGACTAGAAGAATACACACGAGCTAAAAGATGTCTTAGTAGCATCAGTTGTCCCCAGGAAGGGGAATGAGTGGGATGGTGGACAGAAATGCTAGAGGGAAACTTGCACTTGTTCACATGTTGAACCATATAAATATAGTGTCTGTTCAAATAAAAGTAATTTAAATTTTAAAATCACACAAAGTTACCATTTTAGAGCAAAGGGGAAATGAAATGAACATTCACTACTCTCTCTGTCTTCCCAGCACCTCTGAACACTAGTCCACATTTGGAATATTTTCCCCAACACAGGCATCCACAGTTTCCAGGAAGGAAACCAGCCTCCCATACAGTTAAGACCTCAGCACATGACCAGACTCTACCAATAAAGAGCCACACTACACTTGGAATCCGCCTCCAGTAGTAGGCATGGACCCTATTCTGCTAGGTGTGGCCACAGCTACCTCCAGGGTCCCAGGGCACCAGAGAAAAGGGTTCCCCAGTGGAGTCCAGGCCCCAGAGATGGGGGTGCACAGGGCAAGCGGCAGTGTCACACCCAACCAGCCAGTCCTCCAGGGGCTTTTTGGGCATGATCCTGATCACTTGTCCCTGGGAGCCCAATTCTCTGGCCTTCCACAGATTCTGCAAACTCCCCCAACATCCTGTATAAATCTATTTTCTACTTAAACTAGCTTTAATTGGCTTTGTTGCTTGTCATGAGAATCCTGACTCCTCTAGGGAGTGTATATCAACGCCGTACAAAGTCTCCCCAAGCTCTTCTGAAGCACTGCTATTCTGCTCTTGGGAATACCCCCAGGGTAATTGTGCTCCAAAACAGTATCATAAATATGGGAGGAAGTTGCGAGCTGTTGTTTTTGCCCACCTTCCATATCCATTCCCACTCTTCTGGCAATAGCAACTTAACTTTGTTCAGAGGAACTCTCTGCCCACCTTTTGTCCTTCTGCTTCTGACAGAAATGACCCCTCCACTTACTCGTAAGAAAAGCATGTGATCTAGACCCAGCCAGTCATAGCATGACATCTTCCTGACCACAGCAACTTTTGTGGAGCAGAGTGAGAAATCCCAGGGAAGTAAATCTGATCCCATCAGAGCTAACCCTGAGATCCTTGCTTGAAGGCTACAGAAGACAACTTACTGTCTTTTCCCCGGGTGTTCACAAAAAGAGGACAGAATCTGGGTGCTGCTGATGGGCCCCATTCCCACTGCATGGACATAGCTGGCCTGAGGGCCCAATACAGTGGAAGTTCACAGAGACATGGCAAGAGATCAGTCCCCTAATGACACCCTCTAAGCACCATGATCCAGTAGTACCTGAACCGGGCTAGATCTTTGCCTCTATTCTTTTCCATAATGTACATCCACCAACTTGAGTTTGGGAGGTATACAATAAAGAGATATCCAAAATAAGTAAATAAGATTAATACCACACAGTGTTGCAGAAGTATCATGAACTTACTTGAGATCTGAAATGAAGGTAGGTGCAATTAGCTGGGAAAAAAAATCCTTATAATAGCTAACTCTGCTGTAGTGCTTGATACGTGCCAGGCATGATTCTAATCCGTCTATGTGTTGTATTGTTTTTTAACATTTTCTTTATTTATTTGAGAGAGAAAGTGACAGAGTGAGCAAGAACACAAGTAAGGGGAGAAGCAGACTCCCTGATGAGCAGGGAGCCCAATGTGGGGCTGAATCCCAGGACTCTGGGATCACAGCACAAGCTCAAGGCAGATGCTTCACCAACTGAGCCACCCAGGCACCCTGTCTTCTACATATTTTAACTTGCTAATTCATCAAGCAATGCATGATTAGGGATTACTACCACTACCATTTTAGAAACAAGGAAGCTGAAGCACAAAGAGATTAAAGATTATGCCCAAGATCACCCAGCTGACAAGTGGTTAGGCCAGGACTCACACCCAGGCACCCTAGATCCAGGTTCTGGTCAGCCTCCTGTTGCAGTGCTCAAAAGCACCAGAAACACACGGAGACCTACAAGGAAGCAAAAAGTTTCTGAAGGAGTTGGAAATCATTTTTGGGTTGTTTTTTTTTTTTTAGGATTTGATTTATTTATTCATGAGAGGCACACAGAGAGACAGAGAGAGGCAGAGATACAGGCAGAGGGAGAAGCAGACAACATGCAGGGAGCCTGATATGGGACTCAATCCTGGGACTCTGGGATCACACTCTGAGCCAAAGACAGATGCTTAACCACTGAGTCACCCAGACATCCTGACTTTTGATTTTTTTTTAAATCATCTTGTTAAAAAAACACTGTTTTAAAAAATGAGGGAGAGGGACACGTGGTGGCATAGTCGGAAGAATGACTGACTCCTGATTTCAGCTCAGGTCAGATCTCCAGGTCCTGAGATCAAGCCCCATCTCAGGCAACAGGCTAGCACAAAGTCAGCTTGGGACTCTCTCTCCCTCTTCCTCTACCCTGCCCCCCTTCACTTGTGTGCTCTCCTCTCTCTCTCTCTCTCTCTCTATATCTCTAAATAAATAAATAAATAAATAAATAAATAAATAAATAAATATTTTTTAAAAGTTAGGAAAAGTGGGTGCCCAGGTGGCTTACTCAGTGAAGATCTGCCTTCGGCTCAGGTCATGATTCCAGGGTTCTGGGATCCGGTCCTGCACTGGGCTCCTTGCTCGGTGCGGAGTCTGCTTTGCCCTCTACCCCGCCACCCTGCTCCTTCTCTATCTCTTTCTCTTATGAATCAGTTAAAAAAAAAACTTAAAAAAAATAAATATAAAGTATAAAAATATAAAAATTCAAGGCAAGAACAGATAAACTGATGGGTGCATCCATGGTATCTAGTTATTTTTTTGTTTTTTTTTAAATATATTTATTTATTTATTCATGAGAGATACATAAAGAGAGGCAGAGACATAGGCAGGGGAGAAACAGGCTCCCTGAGGGGAGTCCAATGCAGAACTCCAACTCAGGACCCCAGGATCACGAACTGACCAAAGGCAGATGCTCAACCACTGAGTCACCCAGATGCCCTTGTTTTCATTTGACAGGGGAGCAGGTTGAGGCTGGAGAGAGGTGGCCACTATGTCAAGGTGACCCTGGGTACTAGGAAAACTCCAGACCAAGTTCAGCTACCACCCATGGAGAATTTAAGTGTAACCTGATGCCTCTACTCTGGACAAGTTGAAGGTGGATTTTCATTATGCCCCACATGACCCTCACTTCTGCAGGCTCCTTGAAGCTACCCCCTGCTGTCAGCCTCCCCTCAGGCTCCTTCTGTGCTCTCTTCTCCCAGCCTCCCTCCTGCCTGCTGCACTCAGCCAGGGCCTCCACCCTCCTCCAGCTGGTACTGGCTGGGTGCAGCCTCGATGCCCAGCTGTTCAGCTCACACCCTCCGTCCGTCTTTGTAGGACAACAACCCCACCCTTGCTTTCTTAAGCCCCCTGTCCACCACATCCGCATTCCCCCGACCTTGCCAGGGCCCTTGGCCCAGTTCCTGACCCTGGCAGGCATTTGGTCTGGCTGTGCAAATTCCTGCCCCAGGGTGGGTGTCTGTGTGTCTTGCTGTGACCTTCAGGGGTCATAACCCCCATTGCCCAGTAGTGGATCATGGTCTTACGACCTTGAAATATCCCTGTTTAGGTAGCCTTATGCATGGTGCTCTGGGTGTGTGTGTGTGTGTGTGTGTGTGTGTGTGTGTGTGTTTGCATGTGGTGGGCTTTCATAGCCCTGTGTGTCCAGCTCCAATCCACATGTGGGAACCAGGTCCCCTGTGTGAAATTTAGGTGTGAGCTTTGAGGTCCAAATCAGTGTCTGTGTGTGTGTGTGCACACGCATACCCATCCTTGAACTCTCCAGATTCATACATACCTATGAAGGTCTGTGCTGTGATGATTTCTGAAGCTGCTAACCCATGGAGATGCAGGTGAATTTCAGCTTAAACTGCTCTCGACATCAGTTCCTAAGTTTGGAACACTGGCTGTGCCTCTAGGTTTGCCCATGACCTTGTGTGGCCACATGCGCATTTGGCTGAGATGTCCTGACTCTAGAGCCAAGACTGTGTGTCATACATACCGGGTGCCCACATCCACTTGATGGTCTATGACAGCTTGGTGACCTTGAATGGCTGGTTCCAAGTGGCCATCTCCCTGGTCCCGGTCTCCACTTCTCACCTCAGGGGACTTCTAGACTTCTGATCCTTTCCCACCTATGTGCTCTCCCAGAATCCCATAGTACACAGGAAAGGGCCAAGGGCAGGGGGACAGTCCTGGAGCAAAGCAGCAGCACTTGTAAAAGCCAACAGAAGGCAGGGCTAAAGAATTCAAGGACAGGGATGTCTTCAGAGGTTGGAGGAAAGCACAAATGAAAAATACGTCGTATGGGCAGAGTGCACACAAAGGTGTGGGACCCAGGGAAAAGCCTCTGTCCCCAGGGATCCTCCTCTGCCCCTTCTCCCAGCGGTCCAGGACGACACTGACAAGATACTGGGAGGCGAAGAGTGTGAGCCCCACTCCCAGCCATGGCAAGTGGCCCTATTTGAGCGTGGACGGTTCAACTGTGGTGCTTCCCTCATCTCTGCGCACTGGGTGCTGTCTGCAGCCCACTGCCAAACCCGGTATGAAGGCAGGGCTCAAAGTCCTCAGGGGCACCAAGGGTCTAGAGAGCAGAGAATCTCGGATTGTGAGGAGGAAAGAGCCGGAGCCTAGGGGCTGAGTTCCAGGTGGCCGCACCTCCTTGGTCCCGAGAGGCCAGAGGCGACCACTACTCCTGGCTTCAGCGCCCCGGGCAGGGGCGGAATGGCATCTCCAGATTCCCAAAGGGTGGGGGACCCCAGCATGCCCACTCTTTGATCTCTGTGCCTCCACCTCGCTCCACCTGCGATAATCACCTGCCCGCACAGCTTCATGACAGCGCGCCTGGGCGAGCACAATCTGCGCAAGCGCGATGGTCCCGAGCAGTTGAGGACCTTGGCTCGCGTCATCCCACACCCGCTCTATGAAGCACACAGCCATCGCCACGACGTCATGTTGCTACGTCTAACCCGGCCCGCGCACCTCTCCCGGCAAGTGCACCCCGTGGCGCTGCCCACAGCGTTGCCCCCAACCGGCCGAGGCCTGCGTGGTGTCCGGCTGGGGGCTGGTGTCTGATCACAAGCCTGGGACCAAAGGGAGCACAGACTCACAAGGTGCGTGACAGGAGGGGCTGGGTGTCAGGCCTCCAGGGAACCTAGCCCTCCAGGGCTCTTGGGCGAGGCAGGCAAGGGCCTGAAAATACAGATTCACTCCAAGTCCCCTGTCCTCCCCAGTGAGTCTCCCAGATACCCTGCATTGTGCCAACATCAGTGTTATCCCGGCCGCCTCTTGTAACAAGGACTACCCAGGGCACCTGATGGCCTCTATGCTGTGTGCAGGAGCAGAGGGTGGAGGCACCGAGTCCTGTGAGGTCAGAGCCATGGGGTAGGGGAAATGGTTTGGGAGTTGGGATGGGGGAAGGTTGTGCTTGTTTTGGGCCACAGAAGATGTAGACATAGGTTTGGGGATGGAGAAGAAAGAGCAGTTAGAATGGGGCCGGGGGGAGACTGAAGATGAGGTTGAGTTGGGTTTGGGGTGGATGATGTGGTGTTCCGTTTGCAACATCCTGAGCTTGAGTTAGGGATACGAATGGGCTTGGTTTGATTTTTTTTTTTTTTTAAGATTTATTTGTTTTCAGGAGAGAGAGAGCAGAAGGTGAGGAGGGGGCAGAGAGAGAGAGAGGGAGAGAGAGAGAATGTCAAGCAGACTCTCTGCTGAGAGCATGGAGCCTGGAGCCTGGAGCATGATGTGGGGCTCCATCCCAGGACCCCAAGCCAAAGTCAAGATCTGACGCTAATCAACTGTGCCACCCCGCGCCCTGGTTTGATTTTTTTAAAATTTCATTTCTTCATGAGAGAGAGAGAGAGAGAGGCAGAGACACAGGCAGGGGGAGAAGCAGAGTCCGTGCAGGGAGCCTGACGTGGGACTGGATCCTGGGTCTCCGGGATCATGCCCTGGGCTGAGGGCGGCACTAAACCGCTGAGCCACCTAGGCTGCCCAAACCCTCAACCCCCCTGGTTTGATTTTAAATGGAAAATATGTTGGGTGGAATTGGGGACAGGGGACATTTTGTCTAGGATGTGACAGACATGATGACTGGGATTGGTTGTGTTGCCAGTGAGGATAGGCGTAGGTCTGGTTTGACTCTGAATGGGGAAGATGTAGGGGCTGGCCTGGGTTGGGGTTACACGGGGAGGACTGAACATGGGTTGGCCGAGTTGTATTGATTGTGTTCGCACCGGGTTGGGTTGGATTGGTGTGGCTTACATTGGGTTATATTGAGTTGGGGTGGGGTGGGATGGCATGCGGTGGGGTGGGGTGGGATTGGAGTTTGACCGAGATGGTCAATGGTGATTAGGATAAGGATGGGGACACTGGATCCAGAAGTTTCCCATTCAAACTCTCCCTTCTCCACACAGGGTGACTCCGGGGGACCCCTGGTCTGTAGGGGAGTCCTGCAGGGCATTGTGTCCTGGGGTGACGTCCCCTGTGACACTACCACCAAGCCTGGTGTCTATACCAAAGTCTGCAGCTACTTGGAGTGGATCAAGGAAACCATGAAGAGGAACTAACTATTTGGGCCTGACACCGGTGTCTCTGGCTGAGCACAAGCTCCCACAGCTGGCCAACAACCCCATCCTGACCTGGGACAGAAGGGACAGAATCAAGCCATCCCTCAAGACCTCATTTGTCCAAGACACACATGTTAGGACTTGTCCCGTCTTAGGCCAGAGCCGGTGCTCAAGGTCACCTGTTGAAACACTGAGATAACAAGAGTGCTGATGCAAGTTTCTCTGTAGGAGTTTCTGTGACTTTCTCCTGGCGATGAAGGGAAGTGGGAACCAGACACTGGGAGCGGACCCAGAGCCTCTGTACGTTGTTCCTTTTCACCCACTGCCCCGATGCCTCCCTGAAGAGAAGTGGCTTGAAGGAGGGCTCCCTCCATTCACATATGCATAGGACCAGCTGTGTAATCTTTAGGAAAAGACCCAATGCCACTCAGCTCTGATTTCCCCATCATAAAACAGAGCTCATCAAATTGCTTACCTCACGGGGTTGTAAGGGATCAAATGAGGAAGTTCACATGAACTGATTCAAATAGTGCCTGGCCCTGGGCAAATATATCTCTGGACCCCAGTGAAAGGACCCAGCACACTCTAGATGATCAAGAATGACTTCATTTTCTTCGATAGTTAGCTGTGGGCTTCCTGGTGGCCAGGCAAGAGGGCCAGTGCTCTCCTCCCCTTAGACACACAGCGGAGGCTGGGTTACCCTGTGGCCGACTTTAATTTTACAGAAGAGCCAGGGGAATGTGCCTTTGAATTTAACATTGAGGCTGCAGATTTCTGGTTCCCGATTCTCCACAGAGATCACCCCAAAAGGTGATTTTCAAGGTCGCTGAGTGTTGAACTACATCAACCTGGCTCCTGTGACCTAAATATTTTACTGGGGGACAGTGAATCAGACTCTGTGGAGGGGACGCTCTTGACGGTAGAAGGCAGACAGTCTGGTATTCGTGGAACTTTGGAGGATATAACCTTGAGCATCCAGATCTGGGGAACATGGAGTGGGGGCAGGGCATAATGGGATTCCAACATTGCCTGGGGGCAAAAAGAACTCTGGATTTTGAAATGTGAGGGAACTTATTCAGGGAGACCACTGAAACTTCATCGTTCTGGATCTGGGGGCACTAGGATTGTGGTGGTAGGTACCCTAAGAAATTATCTGGAGAGAAACAACAGAAAGGGACCTAGATCCTGAGTCAGGCACTGCAAGAACCAGGGTGTTCTGAGAGCTGAGCCTTACATTTCAGAGGCAGCAGAGGCTGGGAATCTACACTCTGGCTCCAAGTGGTGCGGGGAGAAGGGATTCAGAGCCCCACTGCTGGTGTTTGAAGATATACCGGGTTTTTGGGTGTGTGACTTTACTTGGGGTTCCGGTATGCAGGGCTTTGTATTGGAGGTCAGAGATTCCTCCACTCTCTGTTTCTTGTCCCCCTCACACCCTGCACATCCTCTCACTGGCTCTGTCTCCAAGAGCAGGGGCCCAGGAGCTCCAGGCCCTGCCCTGTCTGGCCTCAGGCCCCAGGAATGCTTCCAGGATAATCAGACCCTGCAGAACAACAGGTGCGCACTCTCCCGCCCCTTGCATAGCACTGGGGTAGGAGTAGGTGTCCAGTCCCCAGGCAGCAGGGGCAGGGCCTTGGCCAGCATCTGGGTGCCAGCAGGGCAGGGGCGGAGCCCCAGGGTGGGGCGGGGCGGGGGGGGGGAGATGAGGGATTTAAAACACTCCTTGGGGAGGCTTCCAAGCTCCCAGCTCACCACCAGCCTGCCCGTGGTCACCATGTGGTTCCTGGTTCTGTGCCTTGCCCTGTCCCTGGCGGGGACTGGTGAGACAGTGGGGACGATGTGGGAGGAGGGGGAATGGGCCTGACTCTCATGCTCCCTCACCTCCCCACGACCTCTTCTCCTCCCACAGTCCACCCCAGACCCAGGTCCCAGGCTCTCTCCCAGGCCCTTAAAGTCCTACCCCAGCCTGTCCTTATTGTCACAGTCCTCACTCTTGCCCTAAGTCCCTGCTCCCTCCCAGGAACCCCCAGAACTATCTCCTCTTCCTCACTCAGACCCTGCTCTGAGCCACTTGACCAAAGGGGCAGAGCCTGGGCCACCTCTGTCTCCCTCTTTGGGGGGCTCCAACTCTTCCAAGGAGCGCACCCAGTCCCGATCACCCGCTCTCACCTTCTAGTTCTCTATGGCTCTGGCACCTGAGTCTGCAAATCCTTCGGCACCCTGGTGACTTTTCCCACCCAGCTGTCAGCTCTCAACTAGGTCTTCCACTGCCTGGCATCTGCTTCCCTTGAAATCTTCCCAGGACCCCCAAATCCCACCAGACACCTATGCTTCTCCCCACACAGACTTGCTGGCCCGTGACTCCAGCTGGGGCCCCCGTCCTGGTATGAGGATTCTACAAATGTCTCTTCCTTTCCCAAGTCTTACCCCTGAACCCTGATCCAGCATCGCCCCCTCTTCTCCCTGAGGAACAACACCGGAACCCCCAACTACAGATTCCTTTCCTTGTAGAATTTCCTTCCTCCCCAGGCTCCAGGCTTCCCCAAGTGAATCCCTCCAGTTTGGCGCTGGTTTTCTGGACTTCCCTCCAGGAACCCAAATACCTTGAGAGCCCAGCTGGCCTGCCCCACCCCCCCCACCCGGACTCCAGCACGTGACTCTCAAACCCCACATCAAGTGTATCCTCCCTGCATTCCCACAGCTGCTTGGCCCCAATATGCCTCCATCTTCATTCCTGTCCAGACTACCCCCCCCCCCCCCCGCAGAGAACCCCAGATCCTTCCACTACCCTCAGACCCTGAACCTCATCTGCATGACAATCACCCAATCCAGAAGAACTACCATCTGGCTCTGTCTCCTCCTGAGCCCCCTCCCAGTCCTGGCCCCAACCCCAGTTCCAGGGACCCACCCCTCTCACAAAGCCATTCCTATTCAAGGCCCAAGCCCCCAAGGGATCTTCTCCCTGCCCCAATCAAAGGACCTCAAATCACAGCCAGACTCCTTAGCCCAGATGCTATTCTTGACCTCTCAGACCTCCTTCCCTGCATCTTCCAGAACCCCCAAAGCCCAACATGACCCTAACTAATCCCTCAGCCTGGGATTCTTGGAACCCCCAAAGCCTTTCTACCCAGCTCTTGAGCCACTCTCTCGGAGCGCACATTCTCTGTTTCTAGCTTCCTTTTTCCCCTCTCAGAACTCACAATTTTCTGCTCCCCAGTCCAAGACCCCAAATCTCCCCCACATTGCCCAATCCCCACACCACATGCTGCTCCAGATGCTGCCTTCTTGTCTCCTGTTTGATCCTTGTGGTTGGCTCCGTTCTCAGCATCCTCTCCCCACCCAGGACCCACCACCAACCCACAACCCCAGGGATGGCTCTAGAATACCAGAACCTTCCCAAAATCCCTGCCCTCTCCCCAGAACCCTGTCCTGCTCTCCTGCCCCAACATCCCTCCAACCGCATGCACGGCACAGCTGCCTCTCCTAGCCCTGGTCCTCCGGGCCCCACTGCCACCCCCCACCTGCCCTGACCCAGCACCCCCTGCAGGTGCCGCACCCCCTGTTCAGTCCCGGATCATAGGCGGCTGGGATTGCACGAAGAATTCTCAACCGTGGCAGGCAGCTCTGTACCATTACAGCAAGTTCCAGTGTGGGGGTGTCCTGGTGCACCCAGAGTGGGTGCTCACCGCTGCCCACTGCATAAACGAGTGAGTGGGGGCAGGGCATTGGGGATGATGGAGTATCTGTGCTCTCACTGTCTGGGCACTGCCCCTGGGTTAGCCTCAGGGGAGGCTGGGGAACTGAGGGAAACAAAGGTGGTCCTCCTCTAGGTCCCATGGAGAGTGGCAGGGACGACCCCAGGGAAGCCCTCCCAGACAGTCTGTGTCTCTCTGTCTCTCCTTACAGCCATCTTCCTGTGTCTCCCCGCCCCGTCCGTCTCTCCGTGTCTCTCAGCCCCTGGTGCTGTCGGTGTCTGTGATTTATCTCTATCTCCCACTCTCTCCTGTTCCGGTATCTGTGTGTGTCCCTGTGTCTGTCCTCCTCTGGGTCCCTCTGCTGCATCCCTGTCACTGTATGTCGCACTCTTCATCTCTCCGCCCCATTTCTCTCCTTGGGTCTCTCCCCCATTGCTGCTGAACACCCCCCAGGACGGGAGTGAGAGGGACCCCCAGAGAACAGGAAGGGACTATCCCGACATGTGTGTGTATGACAAGGATGCTCTGCAGGGGTGCACACGGAGGGCTGTTTCTGCTGGTGCCCTGTTGGGGCTCAGAAGGAAGGAGGAGGAGCGGGGGAGGAGGAAGGTAGGCAGGGGGTGGAGGAAGGGGGAGAAGGTCCAGAGAGGGACCGGACCGACCTTGGGCTGGTGGCCAGGCCACCCGCTGCTGGGAACCAGCCCCACAGCCCCTGCTGCAGCTGAGCCAGTCCCAGGCCCCCCCTCCTCCCGCGTCTCCCCCTCTGCTCTTTCTCTTCCTCACACTGCCTGTAGTCTTCACTCTCTCCCTTTGTGCTCTCTCTTTTTCACTCTCCTCGTCTTCCTCTCTGGCTTTGACCTGTCACGTCCTTCTGTCTCACTTATGGTTTTTCCTCGTAGCTCTTTTCCTTCTCAACTGTCTCTCTTTCCCCATTTCTCCATGTGTCTGTCTGTCTTCGGGACCCTCCTCCAGCTCCCTGGTCTCTTCTCCCTATCCTGCCTCTCTATCCTCATTCCTTGGGGCCCCCTCTCTCCTCAGCAATTACCAGCTCTGGCTGGGTCGCTACAACCTGTTCGAGCATGAAGACACGGCCCAGTTTGTCCAGGTCAGAGAGAGCTTCCCTCACCCTGAATTCAACCTGAGTCTCCTGAAGAACCATACCCGCCTCCCAGAAGAAGACTACAGCCATGACCTCATGCTGCTGCGCCTCGCAGAGCCCGCTCAGATTACGGATGCTGTGAGGGTCCTGGACCTGCCCACCCAGGAACCCCAAGTGGGGAGCACCTGCTATGCCTCTGGCTGGGGCAG